CAGTAAGGGAATCAGTTTCGATGCATAATCGGAGAAATCCATTGTTAACAGCTAGTTAAAGACTATCGCGTAGGGCCTATATCTCAGTAGCCAGACAAGAGGTACGACCAATATTTCTAGCACAACCAAGAATCCAATTCCCCTCATGGTCTCTGAATAAACCACCAGCGGCAGCCATACCAGAATTACTGATGACGGATCCATTAGTCTTAAGCTTAATAAATCTAGAGGGAGGCTTAGTCCATTTAACAACAATGGACACTGCCTGAGAGGTACGTAAAAAGGTGTGGCAACCAACCCAAAATTCAGTTGCTTTATTCTTGACAGTGGAGATAATACCAGAAGGATTAAAGAGGTCAGGTCTATATAATTTGCAATTCCCTTGCATCCAAATGGTCCAGATCGCAAAAGAATGGTAATCTTATTTCTCTTACATACTTTTTGCAGTGAAAAAGTTGGGACAAAAATGTGCTAAGCCCAAAGATTAAAGGCTTCAGAAAGGTTCAAATTTGAATTGGGTGAAAGGAGGCTGGAGAAACGCGGGCGTTATCCCTATCTTATACATGCATGTTGTAGGATGTACAAGAAAACAATGTGCAAGGGACAAGCAGGGTCTATCATCCACTAGTTCATCGAAAGGTTTGCCATGAACCATTTGGTTAACATTAACGTATTGTTTGGATTGGAGGCATCGGACGGAGAGGGAGGGGAAGGGATGGAGACGGATGATAAGGGAGGGGGAGTGAGGGGAGGTTGTCTCCTTCCTCCTATTTGGGTTTCCAAAGAGGTAGAAAGGGAGGGAGATCAATAGACTCGGACTCCCTTCAACCACCCTCAACTTTGTAGATTTGCAATCCTCCCGATTTAGGGGGTTTGGAAGGGATTTCAGGGACTGTTTAGATTAACTTAAAGATAATTACATAATTAACATTTTCATCTATTACCATAAATTGTCCTCCTCCTTTTTACTGTAACAGCATCAGAACCAGAAGAGTCAATTGAAGCCATAAACCAGTGAGTATAGCTTGAACACTCCTTGTTATTTATCATATTTTTGCTTCTCTGTTTTTTCAGTTCCAAGTTTGTTGCTACATTTGTTTATATTCTAAATCTATCTAATAGAGAAATAAATGAGATTAATAATGTCAATACCAGTTTTCTCCCCTCATTATTTTTATCTTCTGTCAATGTCTAATTTTTTTCTGTAATGACCTGCTGCCATGTCTTTTTTGTTTCATAATGGCCTCCGGTTGCTTCACTGGCCGAAGCAATTCCAGTTGAGCAGAAGGATATTAAAGCTGTTGGTTCATCTCTTTTTGGGAGGTCAAAAAGCAAGGTAAATTCACATTCATTTTAGACATGTTACAACTTGACTAAATTAATGAGAGTTGATTGAGAGTTGGAATTTTTACTAGGTCCAACAACTATTAAGCATAACCTCCCTCTACTTAGTTCCAAATTGTTTTTATTTTCTGGAATTTGCATTTGATATCAAGCGAATAGTATCATTTGTCTCGTTTGTCTCCCTTTACATAGTTTCCCATCACTTTTCTGTTTTTCTGGTATGGATCACCCAGTATTCGGAAGCTCATTTGGCTACCAACTGATTTGAATTCGAGCCAAGCAAAACGCAATAGACAGTAAAACTTTTCCTCACGAGTTTTAATGGAGTTGCATTCTCAGGGCTTGAAACTAAGATTTCAGGTTAAGCTGGAAAAGTCCTTTACCAACTCATCTATCCACTCATGGGTCCCATCACTTTTTTATTTGCTGCTATTTTTCTTCTATGTTCCACTCCCCACGCCCCCCCTCGCCAAGGATATGATGCCCTCTTTATACCCTTAAGAATCTTATGTTATAAAGAACTAATTAATTAACTTAATCCTCTCGATCCTAAAAGGGAAAAAAAAAAGGGTAATGGGCATATCATAATTTTCATTTTTAAAATCTTTGTTTCAAGAACTTTTTTGAGTTTTTAAATTCCATGGTCTTTAGAAAAATTCAAGAGAGATCATAGAAAAAGAGAGAAAATGACAGCACAGAGTTTCCTGGACCTTGTTACTTTCTAAGATTCTCTCTGCATTTCCTCTCACTTTATGCTAAATGTTTTAAGCTTAGCTGACATCTATGGACCACTCTAAATTGTGCAACAATGGAAATTAGCTCTTCAAATGAAACTAATAAACAAAACACTCCCAAGATCTCTATTTGAACTCTGTTTAATAAAATACGAGTGGTTCCATGCCCCCCAAGAGTGACTTTGAATAATGAAAGAAGAGCAGACAATTTTATCGGCAAATTATGCTCAAATCTTACTAATTCATGACAAGATTAATTGTTCATAACTTGAAATTTAGTAAAAAAGTGGAAGACTAAAGTTCATAACTTATCTTTTCTAGTTGAGGTATATACTTTAAAACCTCTAGTGGACGGTCAATCAATATGCTGACTGGATTGTTTTTGATTGATGTTAAGTATGTTTGGAAGTATATGTTGCGTTTTTTCCCTCCAGTAACATGATAGTGAGCTTTGACCTTAGCTAAATGTTAATGGTGAAGACATTTTAAATCAAAGTTAATGGGTTAAAGTCTATGGTTTGTTTCTTTTATCAAAATCTGTTTAGTAGCTTTTGTTTTGCTAATGAGTTAATGAGTTAATTGAGTTATTGTTCTCTTGCTTGGTTACAATTAGATTTAAAAGGACAAAGCTGAGATAAGGGTTTGGTTTGTTGGCCTTCAAGTATTGATCAAGGTAATTCTAATTTAAAAATTGTCAGTTTATATTTGTATATTGAAATACCTTATATTTATATTTGTACATTGTTAGATTTTGATTAATCTTTCATTTCTTAGTTATAAAAATTTTAATTTGTATTTTATAAATATAGATGGATGCCATGAGAGACATGCGTAGAAGGGCCATTGCTCATGTAATATGCTTAGTTGTTTATTGGTGGTTTCTTTAAAGTCAACCAAAAAGGAAGTTTCTTGATAATAATATAATTAATGAGAGAGAATGAGTTCGAGATGAAATAATGAACAAAATTGTGGGGAGTGATAGAAGCCGTTATATCATAGGGATGGCCCCTAGAGCTTTGTTATAATTTTGTGACATACTTGAAAGGGAGAGAGGTCTCCAACCCACAAGGAGAGCAACTATTGAGGAACAAGTAGCTAAAACTCGTTATATTCTAGCTAAGAATGCCAAAAACCATTCAGTCCAATTTTGGTTTTGACGTTCTGGAGAAACTACTAGTTAACATTTTCATAATGTATTAAGAGCTATAATAGCAGTTGAAGAAAAATTTATCAAACAACCAGATCGTTCACAAATCCCTATAGAGATAATGTCAAGTAGTAGATTCTACCCATACTTTAAGGATTGTGTAGGTGCAATTGATGAAACACACATTCGTGTAAAAGTCTCACCCTTAGATGCCCCTAAATATCGTGGTAGAAAAGAGTATCAAACCCAAAATGTCTTAGCTACTTATACATTTGACTTAAAGTTCACCTATGTGTTAACAGGATAGGAAGGGACTATCTCAAATTCTAGAATTATTAAGAATGCATTAAAAAGAGAAGATAAGCTAATAATTCCAAAGGAAAAATTTTAACTTGTTGATGCTGGGTTTATGCTAAAAAATGGTCTTATAACTCCTTATAAAGGAGTTCACTACAATCTCAAAGAATACTCAAATAATCCTCCTCAAAATGCTAAAGAATTATTTAATCTTAGGCATGCATCCCTACGTAATGCTATTAAAAGAGCATTTGGTGTTTTGAAAAAAGGATTTGAGATTTTGAGAGGGGTAACCGAACCATTCTATGGAGTGAAAACTCAAAATTTAATTATTTTAGCTTACTGCATTATTCACAATTTTTTAATGAGTGTGGATCTTGATGAAGACCTTATAGTTGAGGTAGATATGGAATTGAGAAATCAAAATAATTCCCAACAAGCTCGTACTTCCAAAGAGGAAGAAGAAGATTCCACTAGGGGGAAATATTGAGAGATGTCATTGCTGTTGATATGTGGCACAATTACAAAAATTGCTAGTGTACTTAATGGCTTTTTAGATTTTTCTTTTTGTAATTTTTTTTTTGTTCTTGAATTGTTTACTTTTTTTTAATGTTATAATTAATAAATTTTTACTTAATAAAGTTATCTAATAACTTCTTTTATTGAGGTACGGGTGGGAAGAAAAAAAAATAGTAATATTGAAAATGCAAGTGAAGAAGGCAAATTAGTATGGACACCTATAATGGATGAGGCTCTTATGGATGCTTTCTTACATCAACATAATTTGGGCAATAGGGTAAATGGTTCCTTCACCATCAAAGCATATGAAAATATTGTTAATGAATTGAAAGAAAAACTTGGGAAGGATGTTGACAAAGATAAGGTTAAAAATCACATCAAAACATTGAAGGCAAACCTCTCAAAATCTCATGATTTGTTCAAAAACCTTAGTGGTTTTTCATGGAGCCCTGTTACCAAGCTATGGAGTGCCGAACATGAAGTTTGGGATGCATTAATAAAGGTACAATTTTAATTTAAATTCCTTTACTAATATTTTTCTTGACCTAAATTAATTATTTAGATACAAAAATGTCGATGTTTTGTAGGTTAATAAGGATGCTAAAGAGTAGATGACAAAACCAGTGTTGCACTATGACACATTTGTGATACTGTTTGAAAATGATCGAGCTACAGGTGAAAAGTTAGAGACTGCAAAAGAATTAAAGAAAAAGCAATCATCCCAACATGATAATGAGTCTCACAATACCATTGAGGAAATTGATCATATGGTGTCACAGAATCAGGTATCTTTGGATGGCTTTGGTACTAATGATGTTGATTTTGATCCTTTGACATGTTTTGGAGGTCCTTCAAATGTGCCAATTAGCTCAAAATCCAAAAAAAAATAAAGAAATCACAAGAAATTGAAAATGAAGCAATGGGCATTCAAGAAGCTATTAACAAATCTTGAGCTTTATCTAAAGGGAATTCACGTCCTCCACTTTCAGAAGTTGAAATTTGGAATATGTTGGAGGATTTGGGACTTAACTCAAATCAAATTACCTTTGCTTATTTATATCTGCTTGAGCATCCAGATAAATTAAAAGTAGTACTAGGATGTCCACCTAGGAGATGCCTTGATATTTTTATGAGGGTTGTTTTTGGTACTTCTTAATCATCAAGTTCTTGGGCACAATCCTTATCTTTATTTTTTAAATTTGATTAATCTAATTTATATCAATTGAAATTTATGTTTGAATAATTTTTTATGATTTAGTTTTTATTAATTATTTTATTTTATTGTTTATTGGCATCATTGAGACCATATTGTAATAAAATTATTTGCTTTTTATTTTTAGAATCATTGTTTACTTATTGCTTCATTTACTATTTTTTTTGTTAAATTTTAATTTTATGTTTTTTCAACCAATAATTTTTTCCCTTTAATTTGCATTTATCAATTTTTTAACCCAAAGTTATATTATGACCTAGAAAAGACATATGTAAGATGCTTGGGCTTCTCTCGTACTTGTTTGTGGTGGATAATGGAGTGATTGAATAAATTGAATAAATGATAACAAGGGGAAAAGAATACACAATCCTATTACAAGTTTAAAGGGTAAATTTGTAAATTTAAAATTAATTTAAATCATTTCCTTTCTTTTACCTTAATTATCCAAACATAAAAAATACAATCCTTCCTTTCCCTTTCCCTTCCCCTTCCTTATTTTTATTTATCCAAACAAAATTAACACAAATCATTTCCTTCCATTTTCTTCCTTTCCTTTCCTTCCCCTCTGTTTCCTTTTATTTTCCTCCATCCCCCTCCCCTCCTTTCCCTTTACTATTTTTTATCCAAACAGTATGTGTCTATTTTCCATTGCCCCTTTTCAAAAAAATAAAAATTAAGCATCTGCTTTGAAATTTACTAAGAGGATAGTATAAAATAAGTTATCCTCTCAAAATTACTTTTTAGGTGACATTTTTAAAAACTTATATTCTAAAATTAATTATCCTCTCAAAAATATTTTTTAGAAGACATTTTTTAAAGCTTACATTATAATTACCATTTTTAAAAAATTGATTATTGAATTAAAAGTTTTATTCATAAAAATTATACATAATAATTTTCACATTAATATGACATTTATATTCTTTTAATTAAAAAAACTTTATAAACTAACATATATTTAATGGTACTAAATTTTTTATAATTAAAAAAGTAATTAAGCCTAATACAACAATTTTAAAAATTAGTATGCATGATATATATATATAACAAATTAGTGCTTATTCGTCTTACCTTTAAAAAATTAAAAGAAAAAATAACAAAAAACACCATAATTCATGCTTTGAAAATAAGATATTTTAATTTTTTTCAATAAGTGTTTATTAAAATGACGTAATTTTAAAATAATATTCCTCCAAATTTTTAGAAGATAAGACGAATAAGCACCATTTCTTATATATAAATAAAACTTTCATTCCAACAACTAATTTTTAAAAATATTAATTAAAAAATAAGTTTATAGACAAATCTTCCAAAAGAAATTTCGAAAGACAACCTGCACAATATTTTTTCCTTCTACTAATATGCTATACTTCTGTATTATTGTTCTGCAAAAGAGGAACTTTGGAAGGGGACGAATTGAGGTTACACCTGCTCTTGTCCTCAGTTGTCTTCTCTTCTTTCGCCTTCCCCCAAATTACCGCATAAAACCCAAATGTGATGATGATTCCTCCAACCACACTGCAAAGTGATAAAAAGAATTAACCATTAGAAATTTCTGCAGGATGAATAAAAATTTTTAGGCTTTCTGCACAACAAGGTTTTTTTTTTTTTTTTTTTTTTCATATTTCTCATTTCTGAATACAAATATCTTTAACTGTAAGCATCATGCATTGGACTGAACATTAGTTGATTAGTTTATTGGTATGCACAAAATCTTAAGGCATGTACCACTTATTGTAAAGGAGAAGAAATAATAGTTCTACCTTCCAAGATAAAGGGTATCACCAAGAAAAGTAACACCCATGAGGAAAGCAATGACAATTCCAAGAGGCTTAAACATGCAAACATATACAGGCCCCTTAACACGACATGCCCATGTATAAACAATATTCCGCGCAGATACTGCAAAAACTGCCTAAAGATTATGCAGCAGATGAAGTTAGTACAGAATTTTGAAACAAAATGCTAATGAAAGAGAGGAATGCAATTCTAGAGTTAAGTGCACAGCCATCTCTATCCTCACCGAGTATCCAATAGCTATTAACTCCATGTCTGGTTTTAGTGTCCAAGCACCCATGTCTCTTTCTGCAATTAGACCAATTGCAGCAGATTGGATAGTTGTAAAGAGGCAAGCGATGACAGTTACCATCAGCACTTCAGGGTATTCCCTAATAATAGAGGTCTGATAATAAAGAAAGTAAAATTTTTTCAGTGAAACTCTACAAAGCACACACAACTTTAAAAAAAAAAAAAACTAACTAACTAACTAACTTTTGAATGTTTTAACAATGTTTACCTGGAGAATGAACAACAATGCTAGGAGAAATGAACCAGTTGCAAGCAGAATCCCTCCAATGACCCAGTTCGAACGTATCGATAGATGAAGTTCATTAGGTAAATTATTTGCTGAGGAAGTAAATATGATAGATGGACCTTTGTATAGAGTCACAGTTAATGCTCCTCCTATTGATACAATGGTGCCAATAGACTTGGCTAGACTGCTTTGCATTCTCAAGTCTATTTTTTCCATTCTGAAACCATTATATGAATCATTATAAAAAGGAGTTTGAACTTCAAGGCCTCACTCATAAACTCTAAAATCAAAGGTATCACTGCTTATGTTTCATAAGATTCTTCCACAAGGAAAATGGCATAAATTGGCAAACATCCAATAATAATAGTCCACACTAACTTAACAAAATTAAAGAATAAAGCATCAAAATTGTATCACCAAAATGCCAATAAGCTGGGTAAACGACCGAGTAAGGACCAGAACTGCAACGGAAAGTTACTAAATTAGCAGTAACAGAGATGAAGAAACTCACCTGCAAATAATAGCAAGTAAGAACGCGAAGGCTGGGGTCAGATCAGACAGCGCTGAGGCTAAGGTGGGTGAGCTATATCCTATACCAGTATACATACACAGCTGGACAATAGACCTGCAAATTTACAAACCCACCCATAAACAAGATAATCAGACCCATATAACTGCAAACCCGATTCTGTTAAAAATTGATACAAAAATAGAAAGATAAAAGAATTACCCAATCATGCTAAGAAGGAAGATTTTGCAGATGATGGAGAAGGTTGGAGTTGGAATCCTCTTTCTGCTATAACATTAGACAAAAATCAAAGAAGAAGAAATCAATACAATAACCCAAAAAAGATAAGGAAAGATGAAAACTTGATGGTTGATATGAATACCCAAAATTGGAAACTTGTTACCTGTAAAAAAAAAAGGAAGAAGGAAGAAGAATTAGGAGCGCAAAAGCGTTAGAGTAGACAACGAAGACAAAGTCACTCATGCCTCTGGCCATGGCCGCCTTGCTCAGGGTATTCAAGCCCACGTCGAAGCACTCTACCATCACCATCACCACCGTTACCACTAACGTTGACTCCCTCATTGAAACGGCAACCGAACACCCGCCGGAGCTCAGGGCGGAGCAACTAGAAATAGATTAGTATAGCTGCGTGGAACGGAGTGACGCGTACGGTGTACCTTGACACTATTAAGCTGAGTTCTCATAATTGGTGCTGGCGGTGGTGTTAAAACAACTCAGTACATTGGTCGGTAAGGCTATCAGAATCTTCTTCCTTGGGGCCAATCAGGGGCTTTGATTATATATCTACATATGGCCTCACAAACCATTTTTCAAGGACACACAAACACG